CCCCCCTTTCCCGCTCTGCTCGGGTCACCCCTAATACATTAAAATTAATTACGTGATAATTAAATACCTTCATTTCCATTAACTGGCGCCACTAAATTATTTTTAACTAAAAGTATGCAGAATAGACTGACAATAAGCGACATTGTATCACAGTCTTTCTGCGATTCTGAAAAACTTCTCTCAACTGCCATAACGGATCTTCGGACAATGCATTATACTTTTATTTAGGCACCAAATTTGAACAGGATACAAGGTGGTAAACTTTCCGCTTTGTTACTCAACCGCTAAGATACGGAGTAGCTGTTGTGACACTTATGAAGTGGATTTAAAATTATGCAGCTCGAAGTGAAACAACCACGACAAACCTCTAACCATGATATTCTTGAAACATTGTTTATTACTTGCCTGTGCCGCCGTTACTACAACTATTGAATTTGACAATCAAATGGATCTTGGTCTAAATCGAGTGCGTGGTCTCAGTGAACTCCCACTAACTAAATTAATTCAAATAAAGTTGAGCTTAGCAGAAGATATCGGTAAGTAAATTTAAGCAAGTATATTCTATTATATTTGATTTACGTTTTTTTGGTAGGCGGAAAAAATATCCCCGGAAAAAATAGCCCACACACCCAAAACGTGTTAAAACCCACCCAATTTGATAGACCATCGGAAAATTAGGGCCCCTGAAAAAATAGACAACGAAAAAAATAATTAAATTAAAAAATAATTAAATTGAGCGAGTTTTAACACGTTTTGAATGTGTGGGATATTTTTTCCTGGGATATTTTTTCCGGGATTCGTTTTTTTTAGTGACTAGTGATTTATTAAAACAGTAGTATTGAAATATCATAGAATATCAGTCATGGAAATTTTAGCTTTAGATAACATCACTAGTGGAGATGATTTGGAAGGAAGAGCTGCTCTTGCTTTGCCTATGGTCTCTTCATTGAAAGGAATCGATAACAAATCAATACGACGACATGGTGGTTGGGAAGAAAAGGGCAAAGATTCAAAAATATCAAAAATATTCCAATTGGCTAT